GGGCGCAATAGGGGGTGCGCCAGGGAACGTGTCAAGGGAGACGTATCAGGGGACGCGCCCTGGACGTGTCAGGGACATGCCACGGGACGTGCCAAGGCGCGTGCCATGGGGCGGCCAGGGGACGTCATGCCAAAGGACGTGGCAGGGGGCGCGCCACAGAACGGGCACGCCTGGGGACGAGCCAGGAAGCGCGACAGAGGACGAGCCAGGGAATGTGCCACGCCGAGTGGCGTGCTAGGGGACGTCAGGCACGCGACGCACTCTATTGCGACAAAAATTGTCGCTCGAGACATCCTCAACAAGTCCTTATGTTAGATATCCGCCTGGACGATCTCGACACATGAAACCAAGCGTCTTGCTCGAGACGTTCTTAACACCTCATCATACTAGATATCTGCCTGGGCAACCTGGACGCGTGAAAACGAGAGTTTCGCTCGAGACATCCTGCCCAGATCCTCATGTTAGACATCCGCCTGGGCGACCTGGACACGTGAAAACAAGCGGTTCGCTCAACACATCATCAACACATCCTCATGCTAGACATCCGCCTGGGCAACCTGGACAAGTGAAAACAAGCGGTTCGCTCGAGAGATCCTCAACACATCTTCACGTTAGACATCCGCCTGGGCGACCTGGACGCGGGAAAACAGGCGTCTCGCTCGAGACATCCTCAACAAATCCTGATGCTCGACATCTGCCTGGGCAACCTGGACAGGACGCGTGAAATAAAGCGTCTCGCTCGAGACATCCTCAAGACCTGGGCACGTGAAAACAAGCATTTCACCCGAGACATTATCTGAATTCTGGTCCCCAGGAAAAGTAACAAACTGTAACACTAAACAAGCGTTTCGCTCGAGACATCCGCAACAAACAAACATGCATACTTTACCATGTGTGTTATCGATCGGAATTTCAGAAACCAGCGGCGCTTCGCTCGGGACATCCTCAACTTTGTAATTCGCCGGCCCTACGCGACCTCGTTGTTCATCGCGAAATACAGTCGCCGACCCTACGCAAGTCGAGACCCAGCACTGGGTTCACTTACTGAAAGAGAACCCTGGACCAAAGCGCTTTCCGGGAAAAAGCACTACGAACTCCACTTTGCGTCCAGATCTAGATCGTGCGTGAGGACCCCCCCCCACAGCCCCTGTAGAAAACAATACGAAGCTCATTTTGCGTAGGATCTGGTTTGCACGTGGGGCACCCCACAACAATCCCTGCCAAAAACGCTACGAAGTACACTTTGCGTCCGAGTCAGGCTCGTGCGTGCGGGAGGCCCCCCCCCCGCCCCCGCACCAGCCTTCTAAGAAACGCTACAACATACACCCTGCGCCCAACGAGATTTCCCAAGAGGCACGTTCTCCATGCAAGACGCGCCCATGGTGTGCAGTACCTGGTGCGTGCAGCACCTGGTCCGGGACCTGGTCAGAATGCCGACGGGATGGCGGAGTGACCCACTAGGTCGGACGACCGTGCGCTCCTGCTTTTCCGGCTGCGCGTTGCTGACGACACCCTCGTTGTACTCTTCGATGTCACGCAAATGGCTCTGAGCTTCCACATGCACTTCGTTTCAGGGGGGAACCCAGAACATGAGCTCATTGGGATTGGGCCCCAAAGCTCAACTGCTGCCTATGTGTTGGGAGGGTGGGCGGGAGTGATCTGAAACAGTTTGTGCCTTCCTTTTGAAATCTGGGCGGGGTAGCTCGAATCACTGCTCCCTACTAATCAAAAAAAACCTCCCCCAGGCGACCGGCAGCCAACCGGACAAATGACAGCCCCCCACACACCATCCCCATCTAAACATGATCGACCCACGAACCCGGAAAGGAATATAGAAATGTAAGACATGGCAACGTTTCAAAGACACCTGATTGGGCGACGGGCAAATGCAATGCTGAATGTATCGATTTTGATGTACCGTGCCGAGGGCTGTGCTGTGCTGCGCCGCGCTGATGCTGAACTGCGATGTGCCATGCCGCGAATGTGGACTATAGCGTTGTGGATCGAGTCCTCCTTTGCACCCGAGTCCTGACCGAACTGATCTGGATCGTAAGCTCGAGCTGCCTCAGCACATAATAGCTGCCCCAGAGCTAATGGACAGAGGGACATGCCAGGAGGACGCGCCGCGGAACGTCCCAATGGACGCGCCAGGCGACGTGCCAAGGGACGTGCAACGAAGACGCACCGCAGGACGTGCCGAGGGGACGCGCTACGGAAAGTGCCAATGGACGTGCCAATGGACGTGCCAGGAGACGCGCCGCGCGACGTGCCAGGGGGACTCGCCACAGGACGCGCCACGGAACGTGCCAGGTTGCAATGCTGAGTGTATCGATCTTGATGTACCGTGCCGAGGCCTGTGCTGTGCTGCGCTGTGCTGAACTGCGATGTGCCATGCCGCGATTGTGCTCTATAGCGTTGTGGATCGAGTCCTCCTTTGCACCCGAGTCCTGACCGAACTGATCTGGATCTTAAGCTCGAGCTGCCTCAGCACATAGTAGCTGCCCCAGAGCTAATGGACAGGGGGACATGCCAGGAGGACGCGCCGCGGAACGTCCCAAGGGACGCGCCAGGCGACGTGCCAGGGGACGTGCCACGGGGACGCACCGCGGGACGTGCCGAGGGGACGCGCTACGGAACGTGCCAATGGACGTGCACCGCGCGACGTGCCAGGGGGACTCGCCACGGGACGCTCTGCGGAACGTGCCAGGCAACATGCCAGCTGCAATGCTGGGGTATTGATATTGATGTACCGTGCCGAGGGCTGTGCTGTGCCTGGGCGACCTGGACACGTGAAAACACGCGTTTCGCTCAAGACGTTCTCAGCACATCCTCATGCTAGACATCCGCCTGGGCAACCTGGACACGTGCAAACAAGCGTCTCGATCGAGACTTCCTCGACACATCCTCATGCTAGACATCCGCCTGGGCGACCTGGACACGTGAAAACAAGCCTCTGGTTCGAGACATCTTCAACAAATCCTCATGCTAGACATCTGCCTGGGCAACCCGGAGGCGTGAAACCAAGCGTCTCGCTCGAGACATCCTCAAGACCTGGGCACGTGAAAACAAGCATTTCACTTGAGAGATCCTCTGAATTCAGGTCCCCAGGAGAGGACAAGCTATAACACAAAACCAGCGGTTCGCTCGAGACATCCTCAACAATTTCTGAAAAACAAGCGTTTCGCTCGAGACATCCTCGATGTTTAATTCGCCGGCCCTACTCCCGCACGTAATTCATCGCAGAATAATTTCGCCGGTCCTACAGCCGTCGAAACCGGGGGGAACCAACTAAAAGAGAACCCTGGGCTCGAGCCCTTTCCGGGAAAAACAATTCACCGTACACTTTGGGGCGAAATCTTGGATCATGCTCGAGGGCCCCGCGAGCACTTTGTGATGTTTTTTGACAGGGACGGCGGGGGGGAGCTCATATTGCATGCTGCGCGCAAGGCCACCATCCTTGACAACAAAACAAAACAACATTCACTTCGCGGCGAAATCTGAATCATGCGCGGCAGCCCCGCGACCACTATCCAGCGGTGCTTGATAATGACGGCGGGGGTGCTGGCATACTGCCTGCTGTGTGCAGGCCCTCCAGACACCATGATGGCCTACCCGCCACGATGTGCAGCAGTTTTCGACAAGGATGGTGGGGGGCCGACATATTTCCCGATGTGTGCTGTCACGTGCGCGGGCGCACCTGGCACACTCTGCGCGAGCCCCGAACGTGGCGCACCTGGTGCGGCTGGACCATGCGGCACACATGGCGCAAGCGGAGCACGTGACGCATCTGGCGCGCCAAGCGTGCCTGGCACGCCTGAGTCCCAGGGGTGCATGGCGCCCCTGGCGCGTGGCGCGGCCTGGCACGCGTGGCGCGCCTCGTCCCACCGTCGCGCAGATGCTGTCTGTTCCAGTTTCCATCAGCTGCCAATCGATAGACGACCGCTGAACATGCTGAGGCTCGGGTGCTACTTACGTGTTGGGAGGGCGGGTGGGAGTGAGCGAGAAAACTTGCGGGCGGGGAGGTTGCCTTGATCAGTTCCCTATTGATAGACACCCCCTCCCCCAGGCGACTGGCAGCCGGGGGGGAGTGAGCGAGACGGCTTGCGGGCGGGGAGGGAGTCTTGACCCTCCCCCTACCCCCGTCCCCAGGGTCTGGACGCGGCGCCCCGCGGGTCGTCGGAGCGTCCACGAGGGTCCAAGATTGCTCCCAGGAGGGCCTCGGAGAGGCCAAGGTGGCCTCCAAGATGTCCTACGATAGCGCGAGGTCGCTGAAGTTGGCTTTCAACAGACCCCCAGGGGTCCAAAGACTGCGTCAAGAAAGATCCAGGCAGCACTGTGAGGCTCCACAGGACGCCCCCGAGAGGCCAGGATCCGCCCTAAACCCATGGAAAATCCCTGAGGTTACCAGTCTCGCCCGTTCGCCTCCGATGGGCCTTCCGAAGCCTCAAGATGGCTCCAAAATGGCTCCAGGAGCCCCAAGAGGGGCCCAAGAGAGCGCTAAGACGGCCCAGGAGCGCCCAAGAGCGCCCCGAGAGAGCCCCAACAGGCGATTCTGCATGGGTCCCTACTCATCGTTCGTGGATGGGCTGGTGAGGATACGAGAAGCGTTCAGAAATAGGGACAAAAAGCACCACTGCATCAGTTCGAGAGTCGAATTTTGAGAGGAGAGGGAAGAGCAATGAGAAAGGAGGAAAATAAAGGTTGTGGGGCGTTTTTGGCTCTCCAGGGACCTCCAGAAACCTCCAGGGACCTCCAGGGGCCCCAGAAGGGAGGAGGAGGAGGAGGAGGAGGAGGAGGAGGAGGAGGAGGAGGAGGAGAGGATGAAGAGAGGATGACGAGGAAGGGGAGGAAGAGTGTCTTGCACACTCACAAGTTCCATCCCGCCGGAAGCCGCTCGCGATGCCTCCATGGCAAGCCAAAACTTGAACGCAAGCGCGCAGCCCTGCCTGTCCACAACGCCCAACGCATCCTCAAGCGTGCGGACTCGGGTTAGGGAGTGGTCACTTCTTCGCGGGCTTCTTCACGACCGCCTTGGGCTTTGCCTTGGCCTTGGCCTTGCCCTTGGCCACGGCCTTGGCTTTGGCCTTGGCCTTGCCCTTCGCCTTGGCCTTGGGTGCGGGCTCTGGCTCGCCCATCTCCTCGTCCTCATCGTTATTAGGGTGTTCCTGGGCTGCGGCAGGCTTCTTCATCGCCGGCTTCTTGCGGACGTCCTCCTGGTCGTCGGCGACCTTCCACTCCTGGCTATTTTAGGATCACAGCCAAAATCCTCACAAGCTCCGCCCCAAGAGTGAGCGTTTTCTTATTCGGCGTTTCGACATTGGGAAGAAGGGGGCGGAAGAGGGGGGGTCTGGCCCTGGACCTCTGCTTGATGCGACTGCTTGCAGCAGTGCGTCCTATGGTAGAGCCTCCATCTGCTCGCAACAGGCGCCAAAAACAGCCAAGATCTACTACATGGAGGGGGGGAGGGGGTGTCCAAGGGCCCGCGCCGATCAGCAAAACAATGAATAAGAAAACGATCACCAGGAGGTTCTTCCTTGTGCCTGTTTCAGGAGCTGGGCCTACCTGTCCGCGTCGGGCCGTGGGAGCGGGGCCTCCTGTGGCCTCCTCTAGCTGTGGCCCCAGTGGCTTCTCGACGGCTTCCCGCCCCACTGGCCCAGGTGTCGGGGGTGGGTCGTGGGCGATTGCCCTCCCATGGCCTCCTGTGGCTTGGCTCTCGTGCGGCGGGCTCCAGAAGCCCTCTTAGCCCCACTAAAGCTGCCATCCCGTGGGGGGCAGGATGAAGAGGAGGAGGAGGAGGAGGAGGAGGAGGGAGGAGGAAGACGAGGAGCAGAGGAGGAGGAGGAGGAGGAGAGGAGGAGGAGGAGGAGGAGGAGGAGGAGGAGGAGGGAGGAGGAGGAGGAGGAGGAGAGGAGGAGGAGGAGGAGAGGAGCGAGGAGGAGGAGGAGGAGGAGGGAGGAGGAGGAGGAGGAGGAGGAGGAGGAGGATAGGAGGAGGAGTGAGGAGAGAGGAGGAGGAGGAGGAGGAGGAGGAGGAGGAGGAGGAGGAGGAGGAGGGGAGGAGGAGGAGGAGGAGGGGAGGAGGAGGAGGAGAGGGGAGAGAGGAGGAGGACAGGAGGAGGAGGAGGGAGGGAGGAGGAGGAGGAGGAGGAGAGAGGGAGGAGGAGAGAGGACGAGGGAGGAGGAAGGAGGAGGAGGAGGAGGAGGAGGAGGAGGAGGAGGAGGAGGAGAGGGAGAGGAGGAGGAGGAGGAGGAGGAGGAGGAGGAGGAGGAGGAGGAGGAGAAGAGAGGAGGAAGGAGGAGAGAGGAGGGAGGAGGAGGACGAGCAGCCCCAGAAGCGCCCAGGTGCTGCCTCCGCCGCCATCCGCCGAACCTCCTCCGGCGAAGCCGCCCCCCGTTCCGTACTTCCGCCGCCTTCCGCTGGCCTGCCGCCGAGACAGCGGCGCCAACTTCCTCGACTCTTCGGCGGCGGGGCCCTGCCCGAGCTCCCCGTTTGCTTTCCCCGTGGTTCCCCCCCCCCCCGGCTGCATCCCTCGTCCCGCCGCCCTCTCCCGCGGTGGCCGCGTGGCCTCCCGCAGACTCCTTGGACCTGGCCCCCTCCGGATCACTGTGATTTCCTGCCCCGCTGGGTCTGCATGCCGCACTTGCTCGAGGTGACTGCTCAGCCTCCTGCGGCTTGGCCTCTTATGGCTGGCTGGCCTCCTCTGGGTTAGCATCCTAGGGCTTAGCCCATTCTAGACGCTTCGCGTAATCCCACCAGCCCACCCAGAAGCGATGCCCAGACGAGTTGCCCTGATCGGAGATACCCCAAGAGGGGGAGGATGGAGGAGGGATCGGAGGATGAGCAGGAGGAGGAGGAGGAGGAGGAGGAGGAGGAGGAGGAGGAGGAGGAGGAGGAGGGGGAGGAGGAGGAGGAGGAGGAGGAGGAGGAGGAGTAGGGCGAGGGGGAAGGGGGAGGGTGTGGAGAGTGGGCGAATGAGGAAGAGGACTCAGAACTCAGAACGTGGCGAGGCCCGCACGTTGGGGCCAGGTCCCAGGAAGAGAACGAGGAGCAGGAGGAGGAGGAGGAGGAGGAGGAGGAGGAGGAGGAGAGGAGGAGGAGGAGGAGGAGAGGCGAGGGCGAGCAAAGAGGCCAGAGGCCTCTTCGACGTCTGTCGGAGTGTCTGGGGATGTCTTTCGAAAGTGTCCGGAAGTCCTCTTGGGGCGTCTCGGGGGTCTCTTAGCAGTCCCGGGGCGGCACTTGGGGCGTCTTGGGTGCGCCTCTGGGTGGCCTCTTGAGACCTTTGGGGGATCTCTTGGGAGCCTCTTGGGGGAATCTTGGGGGCCTTAGGGGGGCCTCCTGGACACCCCTTGGGGCCGTCTTGGGGCACCCTTGGGAGCCTCGGGGGCCATCTTGGGGCCGTCTTTGGGGTGATCGATCAAAAAAGGAGGAGGTTCCGATTAGGGCCCCCCCAGGAGGCCAAAATGTGGCCACATCCAGAATCGAATGAAAGATGTTGGCCTTATCGCGAAGGCCACTTGGGGCGCCTGTGGGTGCCTGCGGGGTCCCTTTGGGGCCTCCTGGAAATCTCTTGGGAGCCTATTGGAGGTATCTTAGGGGCCTATTGGGGGCCTTTGGGGCCTCCTGGGCGCCTCTGGGGGGCGTCGTGGGGGCACCCGTGAAGGCCTCTTAGAGGAGATCGATCAAAGGAGCAGGGCTGATTAATAATGGTACCCCCCCAGAGGCCAAAATGTAGCCAAAACCTTGGTAACATCAGTGATGTTGGCCATCTCGCCGAGTCCTCTTGGGACGTCTTGGGGGCCTCTGGGTGGCCTCCTGAGGCCTCCCAGGGATCTCTTGGGAGCCTCCTGGGGGCACCGTGGGGGACTCGCGGGGGGGCTCCTGGGCACCCCTTGGGGCCGTCGCACCTTTTGGGGGCCTCGGGGGCCATCTTGGGGCCATCTTGGGGGTGATCGATCAAAGAAGGGGGAGGTTCCGATTAGGGCCCCCCAGGAGGCCACATTGCGGCCACAGCCAGAATAAGATGAAAGATGTTGGCCTTATCGCCAAGGCATCTTGGGGCGTCTTGGGTGCCTCTGGGAGGGAGGCTCTTTGGGCCATCTTGGAAGTGATCGATCAAAGAATGGGGAGGTTCCAACTGGGGCACCCCCAAAGGCCAAAATGTTGCCACAACCTTACAAACATCATTGATGTTGGCTTTCTCGCCGGAAGCAATCCTGGACGCCACAACGACCCGCGAGCCACCACCACCCAGATCCAAGGGGAGGGGGTAGTGGGAAGGGCAGACCCCCCGAATGGGGAAGCAAAGGGTTAGAAGAGGAAACTCTCTAAACCACTCAGGCCCTTAAGGGCTGGTGGGACTATGGATCCTTGTGGAGCCACACACACACATGCACACACACACACACATGCACACACACACACACACACACACACACACACACACGCATACGCGCACTGCCCACATTATCCATTGTGTGGGGTCTGCGCGCTGGCGGCATGTATCTGTCCAAAAACCTTTCGGCGGTGCTACACACATGCCGCCCAAGAGCCGAGACCCACACATGCGTATATCGATATGCAAGACCCACACGTGTGTATATCTAAATAAATATACACACACATGCTAGCACGAAGAACTGAAGCGAAGTCACTACAAGCAAATAGCTGTCGGTGTCTGGAGGGCCACAACCACAGGCACGGGACAGCTATCCCACCGGCCCTCGGGGCGCATGTGGTTTCGCGAGCCCTCTCTTCCGACCCCCTTTCCGGGAGGGGCTTGGTTTACAGTCGGGGCGTTGACCTAAGGAACCCTAAATAAGGAACGAGGCCCCTTTCTCCCATAAGTTAAACTTCGGTGTCCGATCAAAACATAAGGAAAACCCAAGGCAAACAGTGAAACACTTGGGGAACGCGGAGCCCCTCCCCAACGAAAAGGGTTCCTTCTTCAAGGCCCGGACTGTACACCTCCCCCCGCACCCCGACGGATGACTTCACAGAGACACACACCCACACACTCACACACTCTCACTCACAGTGTCGGTCGGGCAGCACGCGCACAGAGGCCGTGCCTCGAGAGCGGGAGGGGGGTGGGGGCGGCGGAGCGGAAGGGACGACGACGGCAGGAGGCGAGCGAGGAGGGCGCTAGAGAGAGGGCGAGCAGCGGACTGCCCCCCCCCCCCGGTCGAGGGGAAGGGAAACGGCGATCCCACGGCCAGTGGGCCGACTGGCTGTGGGGCGAGGCGGCTTCCCCCCCGCGGCAGGGAAAGGGGAGAGCGCGCTCGCCACGTCCGACCTCCGGGAGGGGGGGGGGGGCGGCGGGAAGAGGAGGGGACGACGACGACGACAGGAGAAGAACGAGGAGGGCGGGGGAGGGGGGCCAGCGGAGGGCCCCCGCCAAGGGAGAGGAAGGGAGACCGGGCGGCTAGCGCCCCGCCAAGTGGGCAGGAAAGGGGCCGGCGGAGGGCCCCTCCGCCAGGGAGAAAGGTGCGGCAGAGCTGGAGTACCGTCAGGTCGGGCATGTCCTCCTGCAGGCGGCTTGTGGACGAAGATGCAAAGTACTCAACTGGTACCCCAAAATCGTCAAGCAATAATCGAAAGGTCGTCCCCAGTAGTATTTTGGGGCTATTTTTGAATTTCCTCCTGTAGAGGAAAACGCCCGACTTAGGGTACCGCCCTGCCAGCGGCACGATTTGCAACCCGCCTTGCCGGCTGGAGAGCCGGATGGGACGCAGCAAAATCGGGGCACCGTCCTGCCAGCGGCACAACAACTTGTAGCCCGCCCTGCCTGCGGGGGAGCCAGATCGGACGCAGCAGACTTGGAACACCGTCTTGCCAGCCGCACAACAGCTTGTAGCCCACGCTGACGGCGGGGGAGCCGGATGGAACGCAGCAGAATTGGAACACTGTCTTGCCAGCCGCACAACAACTTGTAGCCCGCCCTGCCGGCGGGGGGGTCTTCTTTTAGTTTGATTAGCACACTTGTGTTGTTTTGTGTTATCACACTTGCTTTTTTATCACATTTGATGTTTTACCACGTTTTGTTATCACACTCGATGGGATGCAGCAGAATTGGGATATCGCCCTGGCAGCGGCGCAGCCATGTGTAGCCCGCCTCGACGGCGGGGGGGGCCCGATGGTGGCCAGACGGTCCCTCCTCCAATGGGAGAACTGGCTGTGGGAGATGCGGATTGCCCCCCCCCCCCCAGCCCCCACCCCCCACAGGGGGGAGGGCGCGTAGAGAGCACGATCGCTACATCTGACAACCTGAGCGGCAGGGTAACGCCCTGCCAGGCCGAGGAGGGGGGAGCGGCAGGGGGAGGAGCGGACGACGCGACCGACAAGGAGATGGACGAGGAGGAGGGAGGGGGGCGACGAGACAGGCACGCTGTATCTAGCAGCATGCGAGGCAAGAACACCGCACAGGCCGACCTGCAATAGGCAAACTCATGCAATGAACCGAAGCCTGAGCAGTTCCAAAGGCAGGACAGCGTGGGCATCTACAAATATACACATAGACCCTGTGGATGCGACTGGGTCGACTACGACTGAGGAATCACCTTCGTATGCTATTGAAGTGATGGATAAGAGCAGAGACAACAAGATATACGGGCCAAGCCTGGGGTGGAGCTCTGGCTCACGCAGAACAGCCACTTCCGCCACCGCAGGCCCCCGACAGTTCTTATGCGTAGCCCACGCGTGCGGGAAACATCAGCATTGGCTTATCCTGGGATCCCGCCCTAGCTCACGCAGACCAGCCACTTCCCTCACCATGCCCCCGCGAAGCACTGTAAGCAAGACGTGCGACATGCAAATTCAACGGGCACAAAAGATAGGATGCTAGAGGCCTCCAACATCAACGAATCAGCAGTCTGTAAACCCAAAAGCTGACACCACTAGCCAGCGCCCCTGCGTGGAAAGCTGACTGACAATGCTTTGGCCAAGCCTGAGGTTGCGCTCTAGCTCACGCAAAGCAACCGTCCCGAGGCCCGAAACTGACCTCCAGAGGCCAAAAAAGGAGACCAACCAGAGGACCTCGATCTTGTCCCAGCGCTGGATCTGTTTTTGCACCATACGGTCAAGCCCCGATGATGGAAACTGCCAGTTTCCCACCTGATGGGAAGGGGACTCCACCATGCCAGAACAGGCCGAAGAGAAGGAGCACAGTGTGTGAGACTGGCAGCAGATCGAGTTGGGAGGAGAGAAGGTCAGGGGGGATGGAGACACTGGCGTCGTGTGAGCATCCCCTGTAGTGCAACCGACCACTCATACAATTAAGCCTCACACCGAGGCGCTGGGTATCTGGGAGCGGATGCCTAGACATAGACACACCCATTATTCCTGTCCCGGGCTCCTCCACCATCTCCGCAGTAAGGTGCTCCCCGTCGCCGTCTTCGTACTTGATGCGGTACAGCCGGTCTCGCGAGACCTTGCCGACCTCGATCTCCTGTCGGCCCAGGCTGGCTGCCAGATCTCACTTCGAAGACGAGGACGAGGACGAGCAGGACAAATTCCGCTCGAGAGCCCGCCCCTGGGCACGCCCAGAGGTCCGTCCTGGCCAGCTCTTCGGCCTGCGTCCCTGCCCCCCCCCTCTTGGGCGCCCCCGACGCCCAAGCCCTCGCAAACGGGGCATCAGGAAACGGGTCGGCAGCGGAGGGTGCGTTTTCTAAGGTGTCTTCAAAGACATGCTGTGCCGCGCACAAGTGCGAGGTAAAACCCGCCGCCCAGATTTATGATAATGCATCGACGTTTTGTCGCCCCGGTGTGTCACGCACCAGTGCGAGGTAAATGCCCTGTCCCCCCGTGCTCGCTTGAAGAGGCCCCTTTATCTTGGAGGAGGGAAAAAACATAAACAGAAATTGTTGAAGGTCCGCGCGGATTGCTTGGATCTGGGCTGGACCCCCTCCCTGGCGCGCGGAGCGCGCCAGGGGCGGCACCAGAGGCGGGCGCCGCCGGGGGGGCCCCAGCGCGGATCCAAGAAATCCGCGCGGAGCGCCAGAGGTTTATTTTGCTGCGCTTTTTCTTCGTCGATAGCGACGGCCCCGTCTGCTAACGCCCCGTCTGCAGGGGCCTGGAACGCCCCCCGCTCCTCCACGACGCCGTTGAGCGCCGATGTTTTGGGCGCGCGTGCCCCAAGAAGGTATGGACCCCTTCCCTGGGGCCGGCTTTTCGCCCGGAGCCGTTTCTCGACGGCCCGAGGCCCGGCGAGGGCCCCCGGAGGCCGCAAGTAGCCCTGAACCCGCCGCTCCGAGTTTTTCGGGGCGTCTGGGGAGACCAAGAGGTACCGATACCGCTGCTCCCCGGTCCTCTCCTGGGGTGCGTTCTGACTAGGATTTCGAGGCGGACCCAGCGGTGGCGACGAGGGCCTCCCAGGAGGCCCAAGAAGAGGGAAACGGGCGAAGGGTAGAGGTATGGGTACTCCTTTTCCTCCTCTGAGCGTCGCCACTCTGTGGGCGCCCCCGACGCGGGCGAGGCGGGCGCGGGAGGGCGCCGCGCACACCTGCAGAGCGGAGCGCCGGGTCTCGAGGGACTGGGTTTCTTCCAGCACTGCCACGGGTGGGAGGAGAGGGAGGAGGAGGAGGAGGAGGAGGAGGAGGAGGAGGAGGAGGAGGGAGGAGGAGGAGGAAGGAGGAGGAGGGAGGGGGAGGAGGAGGGGAGAGAGGAGGAGGAAGGAGAGAGGAAAGGAGGAGGAAGAGGAGGAGGAGGAGGAGAGAGGGAGAGGAGGAGGAGGAGGAGGGAGAAGAGGAAGAGGAGGGAGGGGGAGGAGGAGGAGGAGGAGGAGAAAAGAAAATTTCTGGGGCGTCGGCTCCTCCACGACGCCGTTGAACACCTGGCCATCTATGGTGCGCCGGATCCTCGCGCCGTGGAGGGGGTCCTCCGCCTTCTCCGCCGCGGGCAGGTCCTCTTTCACCCCCGCCCGACGTGGTGGGGGGGGGCCCGCCTCCCCAAGGGGGGAGCGGCTCGAGGGGTTCGAGGCACAGATGATGATGATGATGATGATGATGATGATGATGATGATGATGATGATGATGATGATGATGATGATGATGATGCTGATGCTGATGCTGATGCTGATGCTGATGCTGATGCTGATGCTGATGCTGATCTGATAGCTGATGCTGATGCGATGATGATGATGATGATGATGATGATGATGACGATGATGATGATGATGATGATGATGATGATGATGATGATGATGATGATGATGATGATGATGATGATGATGATGATGATGATGATGATGATGATGATGATGATGATGATGATGATGATGATGATGATGATGATGATGATGATGATGATGATGATGTATGATGATGATGATGATGATGATGATGATGATGATGATGATGATGATGATGATGATGATGATGATGATGATGATGATGATGATGATGATGATCCAGTGCCACGGAAGAGGCCAGGGAGCGTGCTCAACAACTGCTTCGCTTTGCACTCGAATGTGCACATGGCCACGCGGCTCCAGGATCGGCTCGGGCAACTCGAGGAGGATCGAGGCTCGGCGATCGAGGAGCATCGAGGCTCGAGGCTCGAGGATGGAGGATCCGGGATCGGGGAGCGAGGCTCGCGGCGCGTGCTTCGCCCTTTTGGGGGGGCCCGCTGGGTCACTTCTCGTGGCCGCAGCCGGGCTTCCCTCGAACTTCTCGCCAGCTGGGACGCACCCCGGGATGAGTCCGAGGGCCGACGCTTGACTGCCTCAGGAGGGGGAGGGAGGAGGAGGACCAGAGTAAACCCAAGGTGCATCGACGATGCCGCAGTATGCCCTTCCGTCCCAAGTCCCCCCCCAAAGCCTTCCTTTCCACTGCAAGAAGCGCCCCCTGGAAAGACCAGCACCACGTGTGCCTGCCATTCAAGCGACAGTCCCGCTTGGAATAGGAACCGCCGTGCATGCCTCCAGCGGACGATGAGGAATGCAGTAATGTGTACTCGCACAGTTCCGCGAGGTGGAGCCCGCTTATTCACGTTTCGCGATCACGCGCGTGACCAGACCCGCCTCCCGCTCCCCCCCCGCCCCCCCCGGTCACGTCACGATTCGCGCCGGCGCCGTGGGAAGTAGCCACTCCTCAGCATTCCAAGACGACGCCGGCGCGCATACAAAAACCATCTCGCGTGTCCAGCAAGAAATGATTGGCCTAATTTCCACAACCGCTACCGTAGGCAGGACGGGGGAGAAGGGGGGAAGGGGATGTCCTCCTCCTCCTCCTCCTCCTCCTCCTCCTCTTCCTCCTCCTCCTCCTCCTCCTCCTCCTCCTCCTCCTCCTCCTCCTCCTCCTCCTCCTCCTCCTCCTCCTACCTATGGTAGTGGTGGTGGAAAATGGGCCCACCAAGGTAGGCGTTCTGAACCACAAGCGGGCCGCCCCCGCTCGCAGCAGCAGGACGCGCGAGCGTGGCCGCGCCGCGCAGCGCCCTGCCGTCCGGGGCTCCGCCGCGCCGTTAGCGGCCGCGCGTGGCCGCCCGGGCGGCGTCTCTCGCGCGGGTGTCCTGGGGCGGCGCCGCTGCAGGGCCTGCGGGCTCGCAGGGGGCCACGTGCGGACCCCACCCTCCCCCTCAGAGATCGTGGGGCGTAGGGGCAGCGTTCGCACGTGGCCCCCCAGCTCGTGCTCGTGCGGAGTGGCGACCACAGCACTTCCCCAGGGGCCACGCGGCCGGGAGCTCTTGCAAAGCGCGTCGCCGCGGCGGCCCCGGCGACACGATGCGCCTGGCGAGCGGACGGCGCGTCGCTCCGCTCCGCGGGGCCTTGGGCTCGGGAAAGCTCGGGAGATTGTCGCCTCGATACCGGGAAGTGGATAGCGTGTCGCACCGAGGCGCGGTGGGCCAAAACTGGCGGAGCGACACGCTACCCAAAGTTCCCGACCGCAGCTGGGGGGCAGCTTGCCTGTCGGGTTGGCGGCCCCCGTGTGGCCGCCGGCGGGCGTCTTGGGGTCGTTGCTCCTCGTTCCCTTTGGGCCCGCGTGGCCATGTGCACGCTCGAATGCAAAGCGAGGCATTTGTTGAGCACGCTCTCTGGCCTCTCCGTGGCACTGGATCATCATCAGCAGCATCATCATCAGCATCATCATCAGTATCGTCATCGTCGTCGTCATCGTCATCAGCATCATCGTCGTTATCAGCATCATCCTCATCAGCAGCATCATTGCCACAACCACCACCATCATCAGCATCATCATCATCAGCAACATCAACACCATCATCCCCGCCACCATGACAGAAACGTCGTCAAAACTGCCATCATTATACTCATCAGCACCGTCATCCTCACCCTCATCATCAGCATCATCAGCAGCAGCAACAAAAGTCATCAATAACATCAACATCCTCATGCTAATCATGCAAATCATCCTTGCGATCGTCAATATCGCTACCGTCATCGTCATCACAATCATCGCAACCGACACAATCTACGTCATGCGCATCATCCACGTCAACGCAATCATCGTCAGCAGCACCACCACCATCACGAGAACCATCATCCCGTGATGACGATGATGATCATCATCATCATCATCATCCTCATCCTCACCATCATCTCCATCATCGCCACCACCACCATCATCACCACCACCATCCTCATCATCATCATCATCATCATCAGCAGCATCATCATCACCAGCACCAATACCAGCATCCCCGCCACCATCCTACACAATCGACATCTAAACTACTATCATTATACTCATCATCACCGTCATACTCACCCTCATCATCATCATCATCATCATCATCATCATCATCATCATCATCGTCATCATCATCATCATCATCATCGCCAACATCGGTATCACTATCAACAGCATCATCAGCAGAATCTGAATCATCATCGCCACCATCAGTACAATAATCATCATCATCATCATCAACATCATCATCAACATCACCATCAGCATCATCATCCTCATCATCATCGTCGCCACCATCGGTATCATCATCAGCAGCAGCATCATGATCATCAGCATCACCACCATCATCATCACCATGACCACCATCATCATAAGCATCAACATCATCATCAGCATCATCATGATCATCGCCACCAACATCATCATCATCATCATCATCATCATCATCATTATCAGCATCATCATCACCATCATCATCATCATCATCATTATCATCATGACCATCATCGCCAGCACATCATCATCAGCACCAGCATTAGCGGCATAAGCACCAACATCACCATCATCATGATCACCATCGACACCATCGGTACCATCAGCACCATCATCATATAATTATCAGCTCCACCAGCAGCATCATCAGCATCATTAGCAGCATCGACATAAGCAGCAGCATCATCATCAGCATCACTATCATCATCCGCATCGGCATCATCATTAGCATCATCCTCCTCACCCTCATAATTATCATCATAGTCATCGCCGCCAGCATCATCATCATCATCATCATCATCATCATCATCATCATCATCATCATCATCACCATCGTCATCGTCATCATCATCATCATCATCATCATCATCATCATCATCATCAGTATCATCATTGTATCCTCATCGCAATAAGCAGCATCGCCAGGATCATAATCACCATAGGCATCATCATCGCCATCATCGCAACAATCAGTATCATCATCAGCATCGTCATCAGATGTGTCATGACCATATAAATCAGCATCAGTGCCACGATCAACATCATCATCGTCAGCATAATCATGATGATCATCAGCATGATCATCATCAGCATCATCATCATCATCATCCTCATCATCGCCACCATCATCATCATCATCAGCATCAGCCTCAGAATCCGCAGCATCAGCACCATCATCGTCGACATCATCATCATCATCAGATGCAGCAGCATAACCATCATCAGAGTCACCATCATCATCATCACCATCATCAGCATCATCAGCATCATCATGATCATCGTCGCCGTTGCCGCCACCATAACCCATCATAGTCATAATCGTAATGAGCATCAGCATCAGCATCAGCATCATCATCATCATCATCATCATCAGCATCAGCATCACCATCATCACCATCAGCATCGCCACCATCAGTATCAGCATCATCAGCAGCAGCATCATCACCATCGTCAGTCTCATCATCAGCATCATCAGCATCAGTAGTTTCACCGTCAGCAGTATCATCCTCCACATCCGCGTCAGCATCAGCATCAGCATCATCGTCATCATCGGCATCATCGTAATCGACGCCATCAGTATCGGCATTCGATCATCATCATCATCACCAGCATCACCGCCATCATCATCAGCATCATCATCAGCATCAGCGGCATCACCGTCAGCAGCATCCTCCTCAGCATCGGCATCAGCATCATCGTCATTAGCAGCATCATCAACAGCATCAACAGCATCAACAGCATCATCGTCATCATCCTCCTCAGCAGCATCAACAGCATCATCGTCATTAGCAGCGTCATCATCATCATCATCATCATCATCGGCATCATCATCGTCATCATCATCGTCACCTCCATGATCATCAGCGCCACCGTCCGAACCATTATACTTATCAGCATCATCATTATCGTCGTCGTCAGCAGCAGCAGTACCGCCACCACCAAGCTAATCATCAACAGCATCACCACCACCATGATCATCAGCAGTATCACCATCATCGCCACCATACCCAGCAGCATCGCCCCCGTCATCATCATCATCATCATCATAATCATCATCAGCAGTATCAACACCAGTCTCAGCATCGTCATCCTCATCAGCGCCATAAGGATTATCCATATCATCACCATCGTCACCAACAGTATTGCCATCGTGAAGCGCAACATCAGCATAAGCATGTTCGTCGTCAGCAGCGGCAGCACCACCACCACCACCACGATCCGCATCATCATCATAATCAGAATCCTCATCAGCAGCATCATCACCACCACCATCATCCTTATCATCAGCATCATCATTATCAGCAGCGTCATCATCATGTCAACCATCATCATCATCATCATCATCATCATCATCATCATAACAATCATCATCGTCAACATCATCAGCAGCATTAGCATCATCACCCCCACCATCAGTGGATATCATCATCGGCATCATCATCACCATCAGCATCATCATCAGCATTATCATCATCGTCGTCGTCAGCGGCAGCGCCACCACCACCACCGTCATCATCATCGGCACCACCACCACCATCATCACCAGCATAATCATCATCAGAGTCATCATCATCATCAGCAGCATCGTCGTCATCCTCAAGATCATCACCAGCATCAACAGCATAATCGTCAACATCATAATCAGCATCATCATCAACAGCATCATCATCAATATCATCATCAGCATCATCAGTATCATCGCCACCATCCGCATCGTCATCCGAATCGCCCCATCATCATCATCATCATCATCATCATCAGCATCAGCATCATCATCATCATCATCGTCATCATCGTCGCGGCCGTCGTCAGCAGCAGCAGCACCACCACCACCATCATCAGCATCATCATCACCAGCACCATTGCCACATCATCAGCATCATTAGAATCATCGCCATCGTCATCATCATCTGCGTCATCATCAGCATCATCATAGTCATCACCAACATCAGCATCATCATCCCCATTACCAGCATCATCATCATCGTCGTCAGCAGTAGCACCACCACAACTATCTCGACCATCATCCGAATCATCATCACCACCATCATCAGCATCATGATCGTCATCATCAGCATCATCGCCACGATCGGCATCAGCATCGCCACCAGCATCATCATCATCACCACAGTCATCATCATCAGCATTAACGTCATCATCATCATCAGCAGCAGCATCATCAGCATCATCAGCATCACCACCATCCTCATCATCATCTTCATCAACATCAGCAGCATCATCATCAGCATCATCATCAGCAGCATCATCAGTACAATCCTCATCATCCTCATCATCCTCATCAGCATCATCAGCATCATCATCTTCATGGGCGTAGGTGGCTTGCTACCGACGCTCTGGATCGGGCTCCGAGCCATCGCAGAGCAACGAGATCCAGTGTGCGGCCCAGTGTCGAAGAGACTGTGCTGCTCAACTTTGGATTCCATATTCCGTACGTCCAGGACGTGCACTCTGCATGCCGCCGTCTGCCTGTTGAGGGCAGGCCCCTGCCGTGGCATGTACTCCGCTTACTGCAGCCTCGCTGGCGCGTTCGCGGAAGCGCTCGCCGCTCTGTCAGCGCCGTCTGGGCAAGACAGCGGAGAGCGAACCGAGGGCGCAGAGTGGTTGCACCGACACTCTGGATCGCGCTCCGCAAGCATCAGCGGCGCAACGATGTTCGTGTGTGTGTGTGTTGCCAGGAGCAGCAAGGGACTGTGCTGCTCTGCCGATGTGCACGGCTAGCCTCTGCTCGGGCAGTGCACGCCGCGCACACTGCAATTCTGCTGCGTGCCAGCCCGCCCGTCGTTGCACTGTCCGCGCGCCAAGGCAGAGGCTGTACCGAGAGGGCAGGTGTCCCCACCGACGCTCTGGCTCGCCTCTGAACGCCATCGCAGAGCAAGGTGTCCCTCGGGTGGCCTGGGCCAATGGGACTATGTTGCTCTGCTTTGGCGCGTGTGTGCTCTGCTGCGGGCTGAGTCGCCGTGACTGCTCGGTTGCCGTGTCTACCGCTTGCCTTCTGTCGGGGCGGTGGGCGGTGGCCAGGCATTCAGGTGAATCTGCGAGGGTGCCTTGGGTGCGAGACCGTGCGTTGCCGCCACAAGGCCAAAGGGAAACGCCTCAGTCCGAGAAGCAACATGAGCTGGGAACTCCTGACTTCTTTAGACGCGCGGATCATCATCATCATCATCATCATCATCATCATCATCATCATCATCATCATCATCATCATCATCATCGTCATCATCATCATCATCATCATCATCGTCATCATCGTCATCATCATCATCATCATCATCATCATCATCATCATCGTCGTCATCAGCAGCAGCATCATCATCAGCAGCAGCAGCATCGTCATCATTATCATCACAATCATCATCATCCTCATCCTCATCCTTATCCTCATCCTCATCCTCATCCTCATCCTCCTCATCATCATCAGAATCATCATCATAATCATCATCAGCATCATCATCGTCGTCGTCGTCGTCATCGTCATCATCATTGTCATCATCGTCATCAGCAGCAGCGTCATCGTCATCGTCGTCATCGTCGCCATCCACCTTGACGGGTGGTTACACATCGGTCCTCCAGCTCCTCCTCCAGCTCCTCGTCGCCCGCCTCGGAGCCGAGCGCCGGCACCGCCGCCATGGAGCAAGGGCTTCTCTTGCTGGCTGGCCCTTCTCGTGCAGACAGCTCTCCCTCTCCAGGAGCAGGAGGGGGAGGAGGAGCAGCAGTGGGAGCAGGAGGAGGAGGAGAAGCAGAAGGAGGAGGAGGAGGATTTGTTTGCAACATCAACGCCAGAGAAGCTCAAGACCCTCCACAACTGCACAAGTGGAGGGAAATGTGCTGAGCGGCACGACCCCTGTACAGGTCAGGGTCGGCCACAGCGGCTGGCTCGGCACAGGCCAGCGCGAGCCGCTGCGACGGGGAACGCCCGACAACAGCAGCCGCAACAGCTGTGCTGGGCGGCGAGGTAAGAAAAACGGGACGAACCGAAAACCGCCAGGCGCAGAGGGAGCACCAGTCGGTCGGAGTCGACCACACACTGTACAACGGCAGGGACAAACGGGCGCCGTCTCCTCTAAAAGGAGGGCGGCCGCCGTACAACCAAGCCAAAACGAACGCACGTGCTGCGCACCTTCCCCCCCAAACTGGGGTGCCTGACACACGTGCACGAGACGCACATCACGCAACAGCATAACCTTTGTGGCGACAGGAAAGTGCAGAAGGCCAGCCCCTGGTGTAAAGAACGCCAGGACGGCGGCCAAACAGCAGTCTGAAGTGGGGAACGCCCCAGCACAATCACGCCGCAGACCAAAAAAAAGACACAGGGCGACGCCAGGACGACTGCCAGGCAAACCCCAAGTGTACCTAACCCGAGCGGGCGGACGCCTGGACGGCCCCTGGACAGCCCCAGGTGTGGGCCCGCCTCGCCACCAGAGCCCGTGCACCCATGGTTAACCCTCCAGATGCGGCCTAAGCCAACTGGGCGGAGCGATCAAAAGACCCACCGTCACCCGCTCCAACGCAAGGTGCAAAGGCTTCAGGTGTCCGAGGTAAAACTTCCAATGGGACAAGGCAGCGGTCGGGACTGTGCAGCCCCCGTGCCAGGCCCAGAAGAGTTGGCGATAAACGAGCTGCGCACTTACCCCCGCAGCTGGGGAGCCTGACTCGCGTGCAAGCGGGCGACCCGTGATGCACAAGCGGCCAGGGCGACAGAACATCACCCCTGGTGCGAAGTACCTCCTCCACCCCCCGACGACGAAGACCTGACGGCCACCTCCTCCTCCTCGGAAGCACCGAGCAGCAGACAAGCCATCTCGTCCTCCGTCTCGAGGCTGTCGGGGTGTAAATGTCCATCCACAGGCAGCGTGGACTGCACAAGCTGCCTGACTGAAGAATGCCCCGCTCCAGGCAACGGGGACTGGACAGGAAGCCTGGAAAAACCGCTGATACGAGAGAAATTCGAGCTGCCGCGCGACGTCCTGACCGCCGTAGATTTCGAATAGCTGGGTGCAGCGCGATGTGGGGACGAGAGTGAGGCGCCAGTCGCAGCTCCCGCTGCAGACACTGGTGCCTGCGAGACGCTCGTGGCCGATCGGCCACTGCAGCTCGCCTGTGAAACTGGCTCGTATATGGCCTGCGCAGGCCGCACCACGGTGTTGCGGTAACGTGCTAACTCGGCTGCAACTCTAAGAAGCACCTGGCCTGGGCTCTCGACCTGCCCCTGAGAGGAGGGGGCCCGGGAGGGGGCTCAACGAGAGGGGAGGCTACCAGTGCGCCTTCGGCCGTAAGGTCCACATACTGCAAGGCAATGCCATCCTCCTTGGGATGGAGCCCCTTGACAATACGATTCCAACTGTGCCTGCGCCCGCGCATGGAGTGATCATTCAAATTAACAGGCTCCGGGGACAGCGCTCTCGCAGTCCTCGCACTCTGCCACCAGACGAATACAGCCTGCACCGAGCGCACACGGCAACGAAGGAGCCATCCGAGCAATCGCACGCAGCATTGGCGCGCCCTAAGTGCGACAAATCTTCCGCCTTTAGGCCTCGCAAGCCGTCGGCACCCGGGCACTTGAAGGCTGGGGGCTGGGAGAGCCGCGAGCCTCTCAGGCAAACAGAACACTGCCAAGACTGCCTGAGTTGGACCCAGTTGTGGGCTAGGGCTTCCTGGCGGCCAGAAGCGGCCGACACTGGGGCCAACCATTCGACATCCTGAAGGTCCAGACGAGGCCACAGGGGCAATAAACGCGCGGCTAACTTCGCTACCAGGCGCGCAATGGAAACTTTCCTCCAAATCGCGTCCGCTTCAGCTGGGCTCGGTCGGGGGTGCTGCCCCCTCCCGAGGTTGGCCATACGGTCCGCGTGATGGTTCCCAAGCCTCAAAAAATACTCGCGAGCAGGAAGTGATTCATCAAGCTCCTGGTGAGCGCACACCTTGATGACTGCCTGCGCACTTGAAAGATCCCCCATGCGCGCCTGGAGCATGAAACCAGCATGCATACGCTTGCGCAACAAGGCCTGCTGCTTGGCCAGTTGCGAATGGCAAACTGCACTCTGGCAATCCGAATAAATATTAGTTGGCCCAGCCAGCATGTGTGCGACAGCCGCAAAGATGCCGCACTCTCCACTTTGGGGCGTTTGGGGCCACGGCGCCCAAAGCGGAGCAAACAAACCAGCCCCGAGGGAACCATCCTGGATTAGAACCTGGGCCCCAAAGCCCGTCCTGGAAAGTTCCCGAATAGGGTGCCGGGCACATGAGCCATCAATAAACAGTTCACCCTGAAACTTGAAGTTTTCACCCTCAACCAACGGCCCCCCAGGAGCGGGAACGAAAACCACACTTCCATCCGAACAAGGTGGAGGCACTGTATCACCAGGATGCTGGAAGAGCCCTCTGGTGAAAAGCAAGAGATCTTCAGTGGAGACCGCGTGCTTCGCCTCGTCAATGAAAACTACACCCTTGTCGTCCAAGACTCCCCTGCGCTGCTCGTCACAGCGCCGGCACCACCATAGCCGATGTAAATGCGCGTCTGGCCCAACCCCGCACATCTGGCAAACAGTGCTGCCCACCTGGTAGCCAAAACTTAAAGCTCGCTCTCGAGTCCAAACAGCGTTGGTGGCCAGACCCCTGATGCAACCTCGCTCCAAGGGTGTGAATCTGGACGACGACGACGCTGACTCCATGATGTCGAAACACACCCGGCCTTGAATACCCTCTTTCTCGGCAACATCCCTTTCCAAAGCCCTCAAGACCCCGTTCTTGAGCAGCTGGGCCACCAACTTAGGAGGCGAGAGGAGAGGGCCAAAGAAATCTTGCTGCCGAAATCGTCGATGAATTCCGCGAACTAATCCATAGACCAGCCGATCCGAGATAACGAAAGCCGAAGGGCCATCATTGGGCCTGACACACGCCTCCAGGTAACAGTCCAAGAGCTCCGAAAAGCCGATTCCCAACCTTGCCGAAGCTCGTGCCATGAAAGCGCGCCGTCGAAAAAAAAGGTGTGCCTGAACCTGATCCCCTGAGAATACCTGACTGCGGGTCCCACGGAGCCGAACCAACCAGGGTCGTCTTGTAAGATCAGGAGGGCCGAAAAAGACCTCATTCCAGCAGACGGCTTAATCGAAGAAGCAGCCCCCCCCTGCGCACCTGCAGGAGCTCGCGGTCGGACATCCGGAAAACCGTACAACCATAGAGCACCCCAGGGATGGGACCCGACGAACAGATTTTAACCGCGCGCCTGCCCAAAAAGGGGCGCTGCTTCTTCAACCTGGCAACCTTCCTCTTGAAAATGGTCATGCGAACCGTGATATTCTGAGACCTGCCAGCCTGTCGCCTGGCTAGCCCAGCGGCGGCGCCCACCCCCAAATTGGTAGTGACCGAAAGGTGCGGGCCCGCAAGGTCCCCGAAATGCGACTGGAGAGCTGACGCGACCGCTGGGCTAGAAGAAATAAGCGCAACTTTGTCCATGGTGATCTTCGCCTCCATGTCTACAGTGATGGCGCGGTGGAGGGCCTCTGCAGCCTCGACCAACTCCTTAATAACAAGACTGGGCGGACCGACCGAGGATAACGTGTCATCGTCGATATAGCTATCGAAGAAAGTACTCGGTGACCGCGGGACCTTGTCATAGGCTTCGATCGAGTAAATCCTACCGCGCGCGGTTGCGAAGCTGCAGCCAGCCACCACTCCTCGGTTGACATGCCAGGGGCCACTGATCACCCCTGCCATAGAGAGAAGCCTAGGAGCTCGATAGGCAGCCAAAGTGAGAAAGGGGGCCCCAGGTGGGAGACCCAGCCTTAAAGCACAAAGCTCGAGCCTGCGCAAATTGAACAGTTCGTAATATTTGTGCATCTCCCACGAAATACGAGCCGCCTCCTCCCTTTCAGCAGTACCCATCTCTGCCCTATAAGCTTGCCTCCAGACCACGTCCAGGGCGCCTCTGTGGTGCCCCGCAGCAAAAAACTGGCGCTCGTGGTCGAGCTCCCACTGCAAGGCGATCGGCCTGCGCGCTTTGCCCCAGAGCCTGTACAAACCTCCGAAGACTCCGATTGGTCGCCAACCTCCGACGGCCTTGGGAAGTAAAGCAATGATCACCGCCTGGAGTTGTGAGGGCAGGGCCCCCGAACGTTCCACGAGGTAAAAAAAGGATGGCAACCACCCGGAGGCCGTCGTCGCAAAGGAGCGAGAAGTGACGCATGTGGAAGCCGTCCACGGCTACAGCGCTGGTCGCCTTGTAACGCCTAGAGAGATCCCTGAGCGCGTCAGGGCCCATGAGGGGAAGCGGCCCGCGCAGCCCCCTCGGGGCCGAATGCCGAGGGCCTTTAGAGGCCCCCCAGTAACCCGAGAGCTTGTGCTTTCAGCGCCCAGGAGAGACAGAGGGTCCGACGCAACGCAGCCCCCCGCGGACAGCGTGGACGTCGGCTTCCAAGCCGACGGGCCCCGAAGCACGCTGTGAGCTCGCCCCCCCCTGGCCCAACCTGAACGTCAGCCGTGACTTCCAGTCCTCGCGGCCTATCTCCTGGTAGCGGCCCGTAGTGCACTGGGGGGGCTTCAGCGACCCCGCCACCTAGAGCCAAGAACTGCTGGTCGAAATCCGCGGGCCGAGCCTGGAG